AACTTGGGGATAATTAACTTTAATTGATTGCCAATTAAAATAGATTCAGGTAGTGAGAAACAAAAAGACAAACATTAAAATAACATCTTTCCTACCCCCTCTCTCAGACTCAACTTCACTCCTTCACTCCTGACTCCTCTACCCACCCCCAGTGGTGCGGGGGGCATGGGGGCTATGGTCAGTCCAGAGCAGTTCCTCTCTGCTCTTCCTCCTCTTCACACTTTTCCCCTGTTGTTGTGTGGGCTCTCCACAGATCGCAGTTCTCATCAGGAAATATCCATCTGCTCCAGTGTGGGGTCCTCCAAGGGCTACAGTGGGAATACCTGCTCTGCTGTGGAGTACCTCCTCCTCCTTTCTCTGACCTTGGTGTTCCCTCTGTTATTTTCACTCTTTTCTTTCCCCTCCTTTTCTGCAGCCTCCCCATTACCGAAACCTTGCCATCTACACCCAATGCAGATGATAATGCTGGTCACACTAATGAAGACGGTACCAGAATATCCTCAGAAGCCCATGCTCAGTTTGGAACAGTCTTTTTCCCTTAAGGCCAAGTGGCTACTACCCAGAATCTGTCTCACAAGCCACTGTGAAAAAATGGGAATAAAACCCACTAGATTTTAACATGTAATTCTCTTATAATGTAAACACAGATAAAATTCACATAGATTCTCAGTTAAAAATTCCTACAAAAGCAAATTCCATGCTAATAAAAATTTAATTTCTATGATAATTTTTGACATAGTCTGGATAGAAAAGAAAAATGTCGTGTGTTTCTGATTGAGAGCCATTGCTGAATTCTTCTCAACTTTTAGAGTTATTTAAATCAAAGGATTTTTCTGTTTTCCCTTGAAAAGCATTGGTTTAGGCAAACACTCTCAGTAGCTGATCAGTAGCTGATCTAGTAGTGTGATGCTCCCTACAGAAAGGATTGTCTGAGAACATAAGAAACTGAGGATCTGTTGGTCCCTAATCAAATATACTGCTTTTCTACACTAATTTAATCTCTAGGAGATATCCAGAAACGTGAATTTTTTAACAGCCTTCCTGAAAAACACCGATACTATTCTGTAAAATTAAGTTGTGTCTGCTGTTGCTCCACAATATGTTCCTCCATTCTCCATTGCTGCATTCAGATAGTGTATGTTCACTCTTAGCCTTTCCCACAAGTCCTTTAGAAAACACACAAGATCTAACTTTATTCGTATACTGGCACTGCATAAAGTGACCTTACCTTTCAGGTTACAGGCCCGTTTTTTCATATGATGCTCTGGCGTCCTGAAATGTCTTGGCTTTTCATTTCATCAGTCAAACCGTTTGGTTTTTTTCTTTATATTTGCTGAATGAGTGATAATGTAATCAGTAAAACTGGCTCTGATTTCCAGACCAGGGGAATGAAAGTTCACTAGGATATGCCCTTTATAGAGAAAAGTAAAATTACTGTGTAGGCTATCAAATCCGATCTTGTTTCAACAATACATGAATCCTTGATCAGTTTCTCACAGCAAGTTCACTGAGGTACTAAGTTAGCTTTGGGAAAAAAGAGAGGAAGAGGGCATTGTTCCAGAAGAAAAAAGTGTTTGTGGCTCTCAAGAAAGCTGCTTGCAGCATTGACGCTACCACACTTTTCTTGAAATTGTGCTTTTTGAAGACTATTTCTTAATCCTAGAAACTCTCACTTCGCTTATCACAGTTTTAGGATCTTGTACGTAGTGCCTCTTTCATCCCCCATCATTTTACAAGTTAGTTTTATTCGTGGGAGTTCTGTTTGCTGCAGTGGAATGGCTCCTGCTTTACACTGAGTTAGAGCAGAACAACATTCATATGCTTTTCCTTTAAAATTCAGTTTTGGGAAGTCAGAAAAATGTACTGAAGCTACTCAGTTATTAAAAAATTCTTCCTCATAAAGTTTGCTTCCCCTTATAATCATGTCATTAGCAGAGGCATCCTTAAGAGTGCTGGCCTGTCACTTTAGACTAAGATCACTATTACCTGCTGTTACGGCTGGTGTTTTGAGTGGGAGCAGAAATTTGGGCACTGGCACTGGCAGCTCAGAAGGTCTCAGCCTTCCAAATTAAATCATTATTTAAATACAGAAACAAAATGGGAAGAGCCCTTTGTGGGATCTTTCATAATACATTTCTATTATTTCCAATAAGTGTTCTTAGGGATCTAACCTGCACTGAGAAATGGCATAAACCTCTCAAGTCAGAGATTTTAGTTTTAAAATAAAAGCAAGATCTAATGTGTTAGAAGTTACCTTGGTGTCCAGACATAATGAAATGAGGTGTGTTTCTGCATCCCCAATTTGCACAAGATATAAAAGGGGTTCAATTTAACAGAGTGTAACTTGCAGTCAGCAGCTTCCCAAAGCGCTCAAAGAAGAATGCATCTTCTCATTTTTAATCAGACTTATGAACAGATAGGGATGTTTTTATATGCACTTGGAAGTCTCTTACCCTGCAAGTTGGCCCATTCACTGTGATTTTTCCTGGAACATGGCACTACCCAGGGTACCTATGCATATCATAGCCTCTGCCATCATTTTTAATAAGTAGCTTATCTCTGTGATGCAACTAAAAGCAATCCTGAGTGTCTCCAGGGTTTGTTGTAATTAAATTTTATTGTTGTATTTGAAAATGTACAGTTTTTGAAAACTGGAGCAAGAAAAATAGAAACGAGATTCTAGGAGGTGATAGTCTGATTTTTAGGTTTTAACCCTTTGTAGTTTCCAGATTCACAAGCTTACTTATGCTCCCCAAGTAACTGTTCCTATATGCAACTGAAGCCATAAACTATAGCAGCTAGTGTAGTTTATTAGCTGGTGTCAGGTAACCATGCAAAGATTATCTTTTATACCTGTGGTCAGATGCTGTAGGATCATAGGTGCAGTAATTTGTGGGTGCCTAATAAGATAAGGTCTTTTCTGAAAGTCTTACACTTTTGCTGCTGCCCCTTTCTTCTTCGAGTATTTACAGCTACAAGGGAATTACTCCAAGTCCCAGTGCTACACATGAAGTGCTGTGGAGAACGGCAGGGTTTACCAGCTTCTGATCTGGACAATAAAGAAATATCACTGTTTTGAGCAGAAAACTGACAAGTTTATCTATTCTGTTATCTGGCATTATACTGCCATGCTCAGGCACCACCACCTAAGTCACTGAGGAGTGCATGACACTACCTTTGAGCTTACACCTTGTGCAGTCAGTGGAATTGCTCTGCATTCAGGGACTGAGCTTTGCCTTGGTCATTGTGCCCTTCTCCCCTCTCTTCACAGCTCATCAAGACTGCTAATCAAGCAGTCATTGCAGTTTCCCCCTTTGTGTTTTATTCCTGCTTGGTTTTCTTGCCATGGGATGCTGTGGACTGTTTTTGGAGATTCATATAAATTTTTTTTCCAAATCAAAGTATTTCCTCCAACAATGTCATCTTTTCTGTCCAGCATTGCTACTAATCTTTATTTAGTTATTTACTTTACAATTTCTATAGGGATTGGATATGCCCAAGGCATCCCTTCAGGCAACACTTTATATCAAGGTTCCATTTATAAATACTTCATGAAGGGCTAATGAATGATTAATAGATGTTTTAATGTATGACCAATCAATTGTTGTAGATTTCGTAATGTCCAACAGAGAAGTAGGTTTCCTATAAGCATAGATTATAACCATATCTGACATCTTCTACTGATGGGCTTCTGAACATCTATAACATACACACTACTCATGTCTGTAACATGCTTAAAACATCTACTAATCACTGATTAATTTTTTATAACCTATTTTGAAGCAGAGCCTGTCTGTGGAGTACATCCCTTACTGGTGTCTATGACTTTCCATTTCTATGGGATTGATAATTTACTCATCATCTAAGGACTTAGAACTCCTACTAATTTCAGCTCAAACATTAAACTTTTCTGAGTTAGCTTGAGCATTTTCACCTCAGCCTAAGAAAACATGTCTGCTGTCCGCAGACTTTTTTCCCCTCCCAAACTTCCAGCTACTTTAAGCCTGTAATGTGCATTTTGCAAGCTCTGCTAAAATGTAGTGATTCTTAGGGGGCAAACCCACTCTAAAATACATTTTCAGCCTGTTGAACTCTGTTTGTTTGACTGTTCTCAGGACAGCTGTCCCAGAGACGATGGTTCCCAGCATCTTTTTTTAATTTTTCTTTTTTTCTTTTTTTACTGCCATCTCCCAGAGGACATTTCATTCTGGCAGAGGAACACACATTTTGTATGTTTGATAAATCCAAGTGTTGATAGGAGTGTTCCTCTGTGGGATTCCCATAGTCTCCTAAGGTGAAAGCTGTGACTGTGCTCTGTGCTTTATATGGAGCACGCAGGTAGAACCCACTGAAGTGGGCAGTACAACTCACTTCCTGAAAATTTATGAGTCCTGCAATTAATCATTTGCAGTTGAGAAGCAGTAAGTTGCTTAGTATATTTTGCAAATGAATTTTGAATTTTTAGTTGATTTCTACTGAACGTAATCGCAGGGTTGAGTCCTCTGCTGTGATTTATCTAGGTGTTGATAGCAATTCTTTAATGATACAAATTAAAAGGATCTGCAGGTTTTTCTTATTTCTGGGGTCATTAGTAAAATAATCTCTCTTCTGAATATTCCCAAGTAAACATCCCACTCCCATTCAAATCAAATTATAATCTTTCACTGATTGCTGTTTACAGCAGGATTAGGCTGCTACACCTGCAGCATTAGCACATGGAACCTAAAGAAACACATCAAGCATAACTGAAAAAAGAAGACAATAAAGGGTAAAAAAAGAGAGTTTTATTCTTCAATATTAACATGGAATTTCCTCTGGCTTTTTAAAACCCATTCATTGTCAAAGACACCGAAGCCTCAGAAGTAAGAGCCTCTCAAAACTACTCGAGCTCTTGGAGTAGACAGGTTTTTACCCATGTTAGCACAATCACTTTTATGTTATCCAGCTAGCATTCTGTGTTTATCGGGGGTTTTACCATGATCTTTTCTTTCTTTTTTCAGCTGGTTAATAATCCGCTAGCAAGTCAAGCAGCAGCGGCTGCAGCAGCAGCAGCCATGGGCTCAATAGCAAGCTCCCAGGCCTTTGGCAATGCCCTCTCCAGTCTTCAGGGGGTCACAGGCCAACTCGTCACTAATGCACAAGGACAGGTGAGTAGAAGATGGAAAAAACAGTGAATTCTGATGGCAGGCTGATCTTGGGACAAAAATGAGTTCCACTTGTATGACAGCAATTTAAAAGTGAGCATATTGAAGATAAACAAATATTGATTTGCCAGCCAAGGTAAGAAATGGAAAGTCTGAGAACTGTGAGCAAGTTTAGAGCTGTTAGAAAGTGTTTTCAAACCAGAAAAGGCTTAGGGTTTGTTTTATTTTAATTCAACCTTTTGAAAAGATCACAACAGTGCAATAATACAGTATTTTAAAAGTCCAGCAACCCTGTGATTCTTAAGAAACATACCAGCTGTCTTCTTCCATTTATATACACCTAATAACAGACAACTGTATTAAAGTGCTACTGTACTATTAAGACTATACTTTTTTTCAAATTGTAGCATTTCTGTATTACTTCATTTATAAAAAGGTATTAAATGTTCTAAGTAAAAGAACACAACTTAAATTGTAATGAAGTATCTGGGATGGATTTAACTGTGTGGCTTATTCATTTGCTGATTAACTAAGCTCAGCAATTTGCAATGAATCAGCCAGTCTCTAATGCAAATCTGGGAGAAACTTTTGCTTTAAAGGAAATTTTCCAAACAGAAACTTGAACAATGTTTATGGTGTGTCTAAGAGAGAGATTGTGCATTATCTGCATTTGGGAACTGTTTATTTGTTGCCAACTATTTCCATTTCAGTCTTAATATGATGCAGAGAGATATGCATCTGAATCCCTATATATAAAAATAATTCCATTGATGTAGCATGCGTAAGTAGCTTTCAGATTGTGGCCACTGTCATTCTTCATTGCATTTACTAGGACTAAAATTAACACAACTACTTGTTTCACATAAAGTCACTGCAACAAATCTGTCAATATAACTTATGACTGGACCTGGTAACTGAGTAATTTGAATGTCATTATTCTAAATGCTACAAATTGGATGTACGGTGATATCTGCAGTGCTTATGTGGATGTTAAATATTTATTGAAATGATGCAGCTTGGATGATATGTGAATCTAAAGTTTAGTTTCTACTCTTACTGTTTACTATGGGGAAAAAAAAACCCAAACTATGAAGAGCAGGTTTTTTCCTGGTAATTTTCTATCATGGTGTTATTGAATTGGAACAGGACTGACATTTTTTCTTTTGGCCCATTAAAATATAAAAGACAACACTTTATAGGAGCCCCCCCCCTTTTTTTTAACATAACGCATAAACAAAGATGCATCCTGCGCTTCACTATCACCATCCAAGTCCCAGAAAAAAAAATGCTGACCTTGTTATATTTACTGGGTGGGTGCAGAATTGTTCCATCACTACCCCGAGGGTTGAACGATGGAGCTTGTCAAAGTGAGGCCTTATCTAATGAATCATCTTATCGCAGGTGCACACCACACATATTAAAGGAGGATTGTATGAACAATGTGCCCTCTACAATAACCTTTCAATGTCTACTTTAACCCTTGTTTCAATCCCTTTTCATCAAAGGATCATTTTATGCAGCCAGCTTTAAATGGAGACTCTCAAAAGCCTATTAAGATTTCTGGAGGGATGGGGTATTGGTTTGGAAGAAAAGTTGGTTATAATACCTATAACTCATAGTCAGATCAGCTCCAGCCTAGAAGCCTGCTTGTTTCTATCTGTGCTCCAGAAATGGTTCACAATTGCCACTCACATGAGGCACTTGGCACCAAAGAAGGTCGTTGTAAGAGCTGAAGATACAAACCCAGACTAGTTTTTTCAATAGTTTTCCCTTTACGTGTTCTCCACAGAAAACGTAAGTGAAGTGTGGCCATTCATTGTATGTTTAAAAAAAAATACTACTGGGAAGATATCACTGAATGAAACTATAGATTCCCTCAGGCTGCATCTTGTTTATTCCACACATAATGTAAAGTCCAATAATTCCACAGGTTGCAGAGAAACAGAGGAGAAAAGAAGAATCTTCCCTATTGTTGGATAAAATTACAGAATCTATCTGTTTGCCTAGCTCTTTTAAATAAGGGCTGTCTTTTTATTACTTGTTTTTACAAATGTTCCTTGGTTTATAATCAGTACTGCAGACCTCGCCACAATATAGATAAATATTGATAATAAGTGTGTAATATAATACCCATTTTTATAATATTCAGCATAAACCCATATTGCTTAGAGCACACTTCTGAAGCTATCTGTCTACAAAACAGGACTATTTGGTGTAATTAAACTACATCCCAGAAATTAAATTACATTCCCTGAAAATTAATAAAATTATAGCAACTAAACAAGAACTGAAAGCTATGTTTCTTCAAAATCAGGAGCGTAAGTGAATAGTTATTTGGGATACTCCATTTCTGAATGATCTGCCTGGACCCATTAAGGAGCCAGATTTCCATCATGTGTTAAGAATCTGCCCTTCGAAAATTGCCCCTTTCAAAGAATCAGAAGTGTGACACCCAGCATTCACTCCTGCAAATACAAGGCTGAATGACTTACCAGACTGTTTGTATGTGCAATCTTTGTAATTATATGCTGCTTCTGTTATAGAAATTCAGGGTTTGTAAATGTCCATCTGTCTAGCTAAATAAATGGTGATCAGTAATCCCTGGAGACATTACGCTATAGGTCAAATCCAAGATCCTATGGCACATTTAGGGAAATGGTCTTTTAAATGACATATGGCATGGCCTTAATTCCCAATAGTCCAGGAGTTCTTACAGTCACAGTAACACAATTATGCATATTAACAATCTTTTATATAGCATATTTGTTATTAATTTAATTATTGAAGTCACAATTATGATATGATAATTTTTTTTTTTTTGCTTTGGATGGCAACATGAACTGTAATACCAGAGCTCCCCAAGACCACTGTAGCAAAGAGATCTAATCCATTGGAATAATATTATTAGGTCACCTGATTAATTTGATATAGTACAGGTAGAGGACTCTAAATCAAATTTTCATTTTCAGAGGCATTTTATGAAGAGCTATTGGCCCACGTAACACTGCTTACATTCTGTTTGCCCTCAGCACTTTCCAGGAAGCATTTGCAGGACTGGGCTTTCGTATCTTAAATTTAAAGGCCAGGGTAGCAGAATTGCTAGATTCCACCCTGTCAGTAGATACACTGATTTCAAAGAGAAGCTGTCTACCCACTTGGCTTCAGCCTGCCCTTATAGTTGGATCCTAGTGCCATTCCTGCACTTGGATTCTTCAGAGATGTAACAACCAGACATTTCTCTTTTTCGCTCTGTTACTGCAAATGAAAGAAATACGAGTTTAGAATGGGTTTTACTATGTTTATTAAGTACATGAAGTGTGTATTTTGGCTGTTTTCTTAATCTTTGAAGGAGATGAACCGCAGAAATATGGAAACAAGGTTGATGCTTCTGTTTTCCATAAGTGCTATCTGCAAGCCAGCTTCCTACTTGGCTAAAACATAGTGCTTAATTGTCATCGGTTGCGTTTGTATGAGTCCCTTGA